CTCCTTTGGGACAGGAAGTTTTAAATCAGGTTTGACACAGAGGCCTGAGCTCATAATCCATGCTGACACCAGTTCAGTGTTGATGGAGTTCTATATCCTTGGAGGTGTTGACCTTTGGATGAAAGATGGCACCGAGTTCTGTTTTCCTGTTCCAGTGCTTTGGGAGGCCTTTAAGGATTGCATGGCAACAATTCAGAGCCGAACTGGAGGTTCTCAATGACTCAACAGTGTCCACCCCGAGGGAAATTCTCAATTCACCAATTGACCAACCAGGTTTTTGCTGGTTGTGGGCTGTTGCTGGTGCAAATTAGATGCTTGCATAAAAGGTCTTTAAGGGTAGTAGAAATTTGGAACTCTCTCTTGCCCCCCAAAAAGGCTGTGGATGCTGGATCTATTCAAATTTTTCAAGACTGAGGTTGATGGATATTTGTTAGGTAAGGGTATCAAGAGATATGGGACAAGGGTGGGTAATTGGAGATAAGTGCAGATCAGCCATGATCTTATAGAATGGTGGAACAGGCTCGAAAGGCTGAATGGCCTCCTCCTGTTCCTATGAGGTGATTTTTCATGATTAGTTTCTGTATGAAATATCACTGTTTCTTTATTTTATTTACATACAACTGGTACCAAAGTTAAACCAAGCTATAAATTTTAAGCAAAAACGTAAAAATTTCAAAGATCCAGTCTTTTAAAAGTCAAATTTCACATTCTTTTATTTTCTGCACCCCCCACCCCACCCCCCTTTGGAATTCTATCCCTCAGTCCCTTAACCTCCCCCTTCCCTTGCCCCCTTCAAGGCCCATCTCAAGATGCTCCTCATCGACCGTGCCTTCGGTCACCCTCCTACCCTTACCCACCCCGCCCTCCACCCCTCCTAATCCCAACCTCCAGGTCGGGTCCAAATGCCTGACTGCTCAGCGCATTGGGATGTCCTCACGAGGTGAAAGGCGCTGCGTAAACTGTAATTTGTTGTTGTTGGTGATGCTTTCAGAAATTGGAGACTGACAAGGAGAACTCCAACGCAGAGGTTAAATACACATGTGTAGAACTAAGCTTTCACTGGTTGGAACGTAGTTGTGTGGACATAGGGTGAGACATAGGGATCAAACTGGACTTTGATTCTCCCCTCTTTCCCCCACCCCGCCATAGTTGAATAGTGTGCAGTCACTTACTGTCCAGATTTACTTGCAAATAATAGTCATTTGGATGATGTGCCAGGAAGGCAAACTGATGTAGAGAACCACACCCTAGTAGAAGGAAAAGTGAGTCGGGACAAGAGTTCCAAGTAATAAAAAGTTGTTGTTCATGTAAAATAAAAACTCAATAAAACTTATTTACCAGCCCCATTCCAGTAAACTGCTGTATATATTTTAAATTAAAATACCAGTAGATTTTGCTCTTGGAAGTGATAGAATGATATAGTCTACATACTGTACGAATGTCAATATAATTCCAAGGAGAATCTAATTTCATGATAAATGTTTGGTGTGTTTATAATAGTGTGACACAGTGACTGTCAGATGTGAAATAATAAGTCCCTTATTCCAATTTATTTTAAAGCAATGCATATCTAACAGCTCATTTTGAAAGTCATAGCATCTGCTTTTCATCAGTCAAACAGTTCCTTTTTTTGTTTGGCTCTCTATTTCAATGTAAATTGTCAAAAGTCATTTTTGAAATGTTCATGCTAAGAGATTATCTAATTTAGTTTTGCTTTTCATATTTCAGAATCTTATTAAGTATTTATTGCTTTGACATTGAAAAAACAGCTTTCATCGAGGGGTGCTGTATACTTTACAGTTGAAGGCAAGAAATTGAGTGAGGGTAAAGTTTTTCTTTTTAATCTACTTTCTGTTTTCTCCAATAACTTTATTCAATGTAAATTCATGTTCTACGCTGATATCAGGGCGCGGTTATAATAATATCCTTGCATTTAATATAACGCCTTATCATGTCTTCGAGACGACTCAAAGCCCTTCACAGACTGTAAAATGAATTGATTGTATATTTTGTGGACGTAACACAGCAGCCAATTGCACACAGCAGTGTGTCACAACAGTTGTGGATTGAGGGACCAAATTATTTATGTATATATATATATACATACATATAAATGGATCCCTGAGGCTCCCTACCTTAATAAGCATAAAAATTTACAACACAGCTAGAAAAAAAGGAAATGGAATATTGTCCCAATTAACATAAATCACAAGCTTTACATAACATTCACAGATTCCTAAGATTATCTCTACACAAACCGGAATATATTAATTTAAAGATTTGCTCATTTACAACCGAGTGTCCCTTAAGATGCGATTCTTACGCAGACAAGAGGGTTATATGGTAATTAAGTCAGCAGAAGCCAAAATAATTTGCAGAAACAGCTGGAATAATAAACAAAATATCTTAACGTAAGAGGCAGTCGAGATCAGGATTTTTTAAAAAAAAGTTTAAATGCAAAAATTAGTTTGAGATTGCAAATCCTCTCTACATTTTAATCTGAAATGTCTGAGGAGAAGACAAATTAGCATCCGGATATCGTTTCTGTTCAACTTTTAATATATGTGCACTTCCTATCGTAACAACCACAGAAATTATTTTATGTAAATTCCTAATGACAGCAAGTTATTATTAGAGAAACCTAAAGTATCAAAATCAGCTGCAAAATAACCCTATGCACTTGGAACTTGAAATATTCTGCTCCTGTTGCATTTTATCTCAATACAAAATGTTATATTATGCAGCACTGTAAACATGAACATCAATTTTTAGGGATGTTATGAACTGATTCCCTCTGTGGTCAAGCAATTTTACTGGGGGGTAGAGCTGGTGTTATTTTTACACTTTTAGTGTCTTTTAGTGTTTTGCAGATATACTGTAAGAAAACTATACAATGAATTGTACTGAGCTATCGAAGGAATCTGAAAATCAATGATCAATCAGTATGACCAATTCTATCTATTTGCAAATGTACGGTTAATAATAATAATAATATTTGCACTTGATAGAGTGCCTTTCAGGTTGGTGAGTATATAGGATGTATATGGTTTATTGTGAAATGTAGTGACTATATTTTTGTAGGTGAAGCAGCAGCCAATTTGCAACACAGCAATGCCCCACAAGTAGCCACAAAGTGAATGACTATTTTTATCTGGGGGATTGTCGGGGAGGACCCTGGGCTAAAGAAATTCGCTTCTCTTTTCGAACAGCGCCATGGGATCTTTAACGTCCACCTGAATGAGCAGATGGGAGGTGGGTTTAACAGCTCAAGGACAGCACCTCGGTCAACTATCGGAGGGGCCAAGAGAGGCCCATGGGTGATACAGGTTGGGGCTGCACGGAGGACTACATGTAGACCTCCTCAGGGATCAGGGATCTCACCTCCCCTTAAACAGGTGAACCGTAGGTAGATTTGGGAGAGGGGAGCTCCAGGCTTAGCCACCCACTACCTATGCCCCCAACACTGCATTGGAGCTTAGACTTGTGAATTCAAAGTCCTGATGTGATGGCTGAAGACACAGCCTTGTGAATTAGAGTGAGAATGCTACGAACTGAGCCAGGCTGACACCAAGTGCATATGGTTTTTGAAGTGGGCTGTTTTGAGTTAAAATATTTACCTTGCACTTGAGCTAAGTAATTAGATTGAAACCGACATTGTTTACTTACTTACTGTCTACCTTTCAGCACACGATTCTGTTGACAAGGTCACGGATCCAAATTGATGGCTTCAGTGCCACTTCCAACTCTCAATCGCAGTTTTATATGGTGCTGTGTTTAAATGGCTTGTTTAATCTAAGTTTCCTATCCATGCTGTTCTGTTTGAAACATAAATGACCTTTGACTGGATTCAAGTTATTTTATGATGTTTGAACATGGGGCGTGATGTGCATAGACTTTTAGCTAATATTCATCCTTGCATTTGATATGGTGCCTTAGCACTTCACAAAATATATTGCAATGTGGATTGACTGTGTATTTTGTGGGCGAAACGCGGCAGCCAAATTTGCACAGCAGTGGATTGAGTGACCGCATTATTTTGTTTTGTTTTTTGGAGGGGTTATTACCCCCGGAAAGGAGTCCACCAACCGACTAACAACCAAATTCCTACTTACTGCTGGGTAAACAGAGGCGCGCGGAGTAGAAAACCTGCTTAAGATTTTGACCTGCCTGGCATCTAAATTATCATTTGGGACTATGGACTTGCTGTCCACAACCTTCAGTAAAGCAGCACATGGAAAATATCTGCACATTACACCCAAGGCTCCTGATGTACATCTGCTACCACATCACCCATGCTTAGCAGAATACCTCAAATGAGTTCCCACATCCAATTCCTAGGATCATTTCCTCAAAACAAAACCATTAAAACATTTTGCTGTTCGTCAGTGACTAATTGCATTTACATTTACCAAATCACAAGCTAGTGTGAATATACATAATAACAATCCTTAATCCTTGCATTTGAAATAGTGCTTTTTACGGCTGGAGGACGTCCCAAAGCGCTTCACAGAACACACTGTAAAGTGAATTGACTGTATATTTGTGGGCGAAACACAGCAGCCAATTGCGCATAGCAGCGTCCCACAAACAATCGTGGATTAAAGTAACCAATTTTATTATTGCTTTTTTTCTTGAGGATTATTATCAGGCATGTGGAGTAAGGAAACTTGCCCAAGGTGTCATCCTGCCGGGAATGGAACCAGATCTCTCGCTTAATGCGCCTAAATCACGATAAAGCGCCCTATCACGTCTTTGAGAGGTCTCAAAGCACTTCACAGGATATACTGCAAAGTGAATTGACTGTATATTTTCTGGGAGAAACATAGCCCATTACAAAGACTATGTGCTCGTGATAGATCAACATGGACTTAACGTAGGTCCTAGTTGTTTTTGTGTCTCGCATTCCCAGAAATTGCAAATGATTGTGCGCTCACACGATATACAGACACCTCAAAGAGTTTCGAGACTTCAAAATTATGCAGACAGACAAGCAACAGTAATTTGGATGTGTAAACATATTTTAATGTTCCATTGTAAAATATGACATGTGTTTTCCATTATTTTCAGTCTCACTGTAATTCACAAGCAAGCGATCCCTTCCTCTTTATTTCTGCTTAAAAATTCAGGCAATTTGATTCGTACTTTTCCTTCCACGAACCTGGGCTCAACAGAACCCAGTTTGACAAATTACAACAATGTGCTCTGTACCTCTTCGCACCGCTTGCCAGCTGAAAGCTTGCCAACCACTGGGATATTTGCTACAAGACAGTATTACATGTGTTAGTAACCCACAAGAACGCTTTGCTAACATCACAGGGTTCTTCAGCTTTAGTTATCGTCACCCAAGCTGTATTTTGCTGCAATATAGGTAAGGTTGGTTCATTAGCCATAACATTGTTGTTCGCTAAGTATTTCAAAGATGGTTGTTTATAGAAATTCACACTTCCTTGGTTTAAGGCTAGCATTTTAAAACTCTTGTCATTTACAATTTTGCGAGTAACACTCTTCAGAGAATCGTAAGCACACCACACATTTTGAGCTTCTTGTTTAACGTAAAATGGCAGACATTTACAATGGTATGTGTCGTGTCGTGGATTAATGTGTTTTTCATTTCCTCTGTGATGAGTGCATCCATTTACATAAACATTACAGGGGGGGGGGAGGGGGGTGTGGACGTATAGCGGAAGATTTAAAAAGGTCTGTAGCAATCCAACAAACCAAAAGAGGGATAATAAAAAGCAACAGGAAGTCTCTCTGCTCTGCTCGGCCCCTGCTCCTCAGGTGAAAACTCTTCCCGAATGACAGCGGTCTCAGTGGACACAACATGACATTCCTGCTGTACTGTACATAACTTGCCAGGTTAAATAAAGCAGTACACATGGACAATACACATAGGATCCAACAAAAGCTGCTTTTGAGTTCCCAGTTTAAGACTGGGGCAAAAAGCAAGTACAGCCGTAATTAAACCCTGGCTCATCCCCTCCACATGCCTAGAAACCTTTTGTCTGGAATGTAACAGAGCATCAAGTATCACACACAGCCTCTAATTCTCACCAACAGGCTCTCCTTCCCCCACCTCCCCTCCACCGCCTCCTCACCACCCACTCACCCCCCCCCCTTTCCTCCGTTACTACGAATCTCCTTTGGCAAGGTGCCTCGAAATTAGTCTGTAATCTTAGAAATTTTGAAAAATTAAATGAACAGGGAACGGACTTTTTTTATACAGGTCCCTTTATACGCGTCTATAACATTCCTGACGAGTAGAAGCAATGAAAGGCTGAATGTACTATGGTGATCAGACACAGCACTTCACTGACACGGATCCCGATACTGGAAGCAGATGAACTATCTGGAGACGTGCGTCCTTTGGGCTGTACGTCGACAGTCTCCTCCTTTGAAGCCGTGATTGGTGTCTGAAAAAGATTATGATTCAATTATAATATCGATGGTAATAATAGTAATAATCCTTGCATTTGATACAGCGCCTTATCACGTCTTCGCGACGTCTCAAAGCCCTTCACAGGATATACTGTGAAAGGAATTGACTGTATATTTTGTGGGCGAAACGCGGCAGCCAATTGCGCACAGCAGTGTCCCACACAAGTGGTTGTGGATTGAGTGACCAAATTAGTATTATTTAATTTAAATTGCAAATGAGCAAATTCAGTCACTGCCGAACTTTTAGGACTCACTCAAATGGCGAAATAACAAAACTGACACATTAAATGTTTCTTTCCTATCAAAAGCTTTCAAGGCTAATGTCGGAAATGGCTATCATAAATTGAAGCAGAATCTTATGTGATTATTTGGGCTGATTAATTGTTTTCATTTTAGACAATATGTTATCTCCCAAAGTAAATACCTAATCATTATGTACAATTAGGGAAACCATTTGTGATTGCAATCGTTATAGGAAAGTTGAACTGTAACCGTAAAAGCATCATTATACGTATTAATAAATAAATATGGTTCCTTTTATTCATGTTTGGAAGCTTTACGTGGACAATGAGGGCTGCGATCACAGGGTCAAGTGAAGGACGACTCGTTTCAAAAGATGTTTCAAACTGCTGTCTTTAGTTTGATTGTTTTCGACAGCTTTTAGTCTGGGATCTTAGATGCAGCACTAACTCTGAACAGTAGCAGAATGTGGCGTTCTGAGTGAAAGAGGAAGAGGAAACATTTGCCAAGAAATGCACAGTCACTACACTTGAGTGCAATTCAATTGAATCAAATGACTTGTGTTTGATGGAGCGCCTTTCATGTTGGCACAACACCTCAAAGGCTTTGCAGGGTTTACATGTGGTGACTTTGTGTTTTGTAGGCAAAATACTCTGTGAGAGAGATTTGAAGGCACTATATCATTTGTTTTAATGTTGAAGGTGCTATATCAAATGCAAGTCATGCCACTTTACGGTAAAATCCTGTGAAGCGTTTTGTAATGTCTCAACAAGGTGCTGTATCAAATGCAAGATTTATTATTAACCTTTAGCCTCTCGTGCTGACAGACAATTACAGATTGCAATTGACGATTGAGGCTAGAGCTGTTTATTACCCCTTTCCCTGATGTTTAAAACAAAAGAGACCGTGGTGGAGCCCTTGGGAGGTAAGAGTGGGAATCAATAACAAAAGTAAACAAAGGGAGATTGACCATTTTAAATATCTCCAGGTCATGATGCAAAATGTGCAATTAAATAAACAAACACACTTTGTGTGTAAGGTTATCAGTGCCTGGGAGGTGTCTAAGAGGAAGATCTTATCATTCCCTGTAATGAACCTCGGACCATAAATCTTGTATTGTCTGATTCTCCATCATGTAACTCAAACCTGCTTGAAGCATTTTTTTACAGAAGAATGCATTTCCTACGACATTCGAGCCAGCCAGACTAAGCAGATATATTATGCTGTATGCAGTTTTTGTGCTTAAAGAATTAAATACTAAGTTTAAACTACTGCGATTAACTTAGTCAGTACATACCTCTGAGATGCAAAGCTCCTGACTGACTGATGCGTTGGAATGTAGTCTCTGTGCCTGAAGGTGAAAGACATTAAGAGTTTTAGAAGCACACAAATTATACAAGCTAAGAAGCCCCCAAAACACTCCCCCTGCCAATGGACCACAGGTTTCCATTAAGGTATCAGATTCTGGAGTTTTCTCTCCAGTGCACAGTCTCCGGTGTGTGGACAGGGTCTAGTGAGAGAGATTTAATCTCGTTGCAGGCCTCCATCAATACTCCACGTGAGTTAATTGCTCAACGTCAGCTTTGAGATGACTTTCCCTATCACAACAGCTCAGCTGGGATTGACAGTTCGGTGGTGTGGAGAATCCAACCTGTTATGTATGACCTGATGTGCCCCATACCTCGCAGATGGCTTATTTTTGATTTTATCTTGAGCATTGTTCCAACTCGATAGCACAAGAACAAGTATATAGCAAAACATTGGGTAAATTTCCTTGGGATACTTTGTGGTTGTGGAAATTCGAGTGAACATGAACACTTTTTAAACCTCTATGCAGAAAAGTCTGACCTTGATTTATCGATCGTATTTTTTCCCCTCCCCCTACCCCCCCCCGACGTGGGTGCTAAATTGCAACCCTTTGTAAGGGCACTCGTTATTAGTAACAGCTCTTAAGCTGCAAATAGCGGCTCCCTCCTGAATGCGACGCAATCTATTTCAAGAAGCAGAGTTCCTGTATCCCCGACTTGCAGATAGAGGAACAAGTTGTTATTCGCTGCTCAGAGCTGTTTCACAAACCCTGTGAAAAGCAAATCGCTATAATTTAAAAAAACCCTAATGTTAACCTTTAAGTCGTTGAGGAGGGGGGGTGGGGGAGGGGGTTTACTGAAGAAATCTAATTTGAATCTAATCTTTGGATCACTGACGCTGGTGAAAACCGCTCCACACTCGTTTGTGCCTGTATCTGTTGATGATGTCAATGGCTACAGCTCAGCCCTACAGCTGCTGGTGAGGCTGGCATGTCCTTGCCTCTGGCATTAATAACTGAGAGAGGCTGATGCTTGTCAGAAGTCGGATCCAAGCTGCAATATTCTGAAGCGGGTTGTTGTGTCTCTCAGCGCAAATATTAGCTGTCACACCAATGCTGTGTTCAGCAAACTCCTGCCTGCTTCATGCCTTCAGCCTCTCTGCCCCCACCCTCTGGAACTCCATCCCACAGTCCCTCCGTCTCGCCCCCTCCCCTTGCCTCCTACAAGACCCTCCTCTTCGACCCTCCTCCTCGGTCACCCTCCTACCCCTACCCTCCCCGCCCTCCACCCCTCCTGATCCCAACCACCAGCTCGGGCGCGGATCCCTGACTGTCCAGCGCCTTGGGACGTCCTCCTGACGTGAAATGCACTGCGTAAATATTATTTGTTGTTGTTGTTGTTGCCTTCAGTGGGCGAGCTTTCAGTCATTCTGCCCCACCTCTCTGGAACTCCATCTTCCCGGAGTCCCTTCACTTTGTCTCTTCCCTCCCCACATTCAAACCACATTATCTTTTTGACTGGAAATTCAGCCATGTGCCTCCTCCACCTCTCCTTCCCCACCCCGCCTCCCTACACCCGTCTTCACCCACAAACACACACATGCACACACACACTTCCACTTGCTGCTCAGCTCAGGCTCCCAGTCAGCTCTGTGAAGTGCTTTGAGATGACCTCCCGACATGAAATGTAAATGTAAATCACGTTTCTTTCATTTCGCAAAGCGTCCTCAATTATTGCTCAACTGCACTGACTTTCTCCCCACCCACCTTGGGTTTATGAATAATCATGTATCACACTTTCAACAGAGCTGTTTGTTTCATGTTTCAATGCTGTTGACATGGTTTATTGATAAGTTGCCCCATGTGTTTCAATCCTGTCACTGAAAATTCAATGAATACTTAACTAATTCCCTTTGGTATCAATTAGAAGATTCTTTAATTTATTCCTGAATTCACTCTGACTATTGCGTGGATTTTTTTTAGGATATGTGCTCATTAGAGGGAGAGACTGATATTTGAAACGCTTTTCTAATATTGGCACTAATGCTCAGGAACATTCGTAGAATCAAACAGTATTGCAGCATAGAAGGAGGCCATTTGACCCATCACGCCTGCGCCAGCTCTTTGGAAGAGCTACCTAACTAGTCCCACTCCCCCGCTCTTTCCCTATAGCCTTGCAAACTATTCCTTTTCAAGTAACTATCCAATTCCCTTTTGAAAGTTGTTATTGAATCCATTTCCACCGCCCTTTCAGGCAGTGCATGCCAGACTGTAACAACTCTCTATGTAAGAAAAAATTCTCCTCATCTCCTCTCTGGTTTTTTTGCCAATTATCTTAAATTTATTGATAAGTTGCCCCATTTGTTTTCAATCTTGTCACTGAAAATTCAATGGATACTTAATTCATTCCCTTTGGTGTTAATTAGAAGATCCTTTAAGATCACATTATTGGTTTGAAGTTGAGAGAATCTCCTCCCACGCGGTGTTAATGATGGGCTTCAACACTGACCGCAATAGAGCTTTGGTAAAAAAAGGTATCGGTAGTAACAGGTGGCAGCCTGGCTCATTTGGTAGCACTGAGTTAGATGTTTGTGGGTTTAAGCCCCACTCTGGCCTCTGAACTCACAAAGGCATAATAACAGCACTGTGGGGGCGCTGTATTGTTAGAGGTGCCGTTCTTCAGATGAGACGTTAAACCGAGGTCCGGTCTACCTGTTCAGGTGGATGATAAATAACACATCGCGCTACTCGAAAAGAGAAGGGAATTTCTCTCTCCCGGGGTCCTGGACAATAATCCACAAGATAAAAAAAAAAAATCCCAATCCTGAGATAAGATTTTACCTTTGTTCCAGTCTTTTACTGTCTTTCCAACAATCCCTATGAGGTTTATTTATTAACTAACACCAATGAGATGCAGCCCAATTCCCGATTAGCCTTCTTACTAACCAATAACATTCCAGCATCCATTCAAAAGATAATAATTCTTGCATTTGATATAGCACCTTATCATGTCTGTGAGACGTCTCAAAGCGCCTCACAGAATATACTGCAAAGTGTAGTGATTGTATACTTTGTGGGTGAAACGCGGCCGCCAATTGCGCACAGCAGCGTCCCACAAACAGTCGTGGATCGAGTGACCTTTTTTTTTTGAAGGAATTATTAGATTGCTGCAATCCTAACATGAAACCAAGATCTCATTCTATAAGATTAACCTGACCTTGACAGTTAGTTCATCGCAGTTTGGTATTGTCTACAACACTATTATAATGCTATTGCAGTAACCAATGGTGTCATCAGCCAACCAACAATGTACAAGTCTCCACTACCCATTGATTTTAAAGAGCAAAGTAGCAAGAAGCTTTTATACGGTGCCATAAAGTAAAGATTTTGCTAGTATTCTGTTATCCAGCCTCCGTGGAGTCCGAGTAGAAACCCTAAAAGCACATTTTTAATGACGTTTTGTAAGCCTCCTGTGTTTGAAGGCAATGGAAACGTGGCTGTTTTGCTAATAGCTTGGGCTGCACAAATACACGGCCAGAAAGCTGTCATAACAGCCAGATGGAGAGAGTGTGTAAACCGGGAGCAGAGCCTTATTCATTTTTATTTGTTTATTACAGTTCTGTGCAATAACTGGAACATTGGTGTTCTGGTTCTAGCTCTCTTCACACTTGAGTCCATCTCAGTTTTATTGGTCTAAGAGGGTCAATATATCAGCCCTTGCAAAGTAACACGATCACGGCATTTCACATTACGCTCTGGGACACTATATAAATGCATGTTGTTGTTGTTGTTATGGTACTTCAGTGAGGGCTAATACAGTGGAACCGAGTTATAAGGTGGTCGTCATGGGCAGTGTGCACCAAATAGACTTTTGCGTATCTGTCAGAATACGTTCATTACTTAATGGAGCTTTAAATCTCCCAATAGCTAATGCTTTGAGACGGAAATAAGTAGTTCCAGGATTACTGAGCAAAATCAATTAGTCTTTGCCTTAGAATTGGGTGCGCGCACAATGAAACAGTCATCTCACTGATTCGGTAGCACTTTCAGCTTGTTTTTGATCTGACAAAACAGCACAAGTCTCCCCACCCCCCACCAACCCCGCCCGCCCCAAAAAAATCTGTTCCACACTTGCTCCGTGCGGCTTGACAATGTAAACAGCCCTGCTGTTCCGATCGTCAATTGAATCTGACAAAGCAAGTTACCTCTCATACCTTGTGTTAGTTTCCCAGTGTTGGCCATGGATGTGACAATGAGATTTTTGCCACCGATTAATTAGTGCAACTTGTATTTCCTTGTCAAATACCACCTTATCCTTATTATATCCTGACTCGTTGCTTGGCTTGTAATGAGTTACAGCGATCATTCCTTACCTGTAGATTTGCACAGATGGGAATGACGCTGGGATCGTTCGCTGTGTTGATTGCGTTGCTCTGGCTGGCTGGCTCGGTGTTGGACTGCGGCGTGTCATTCAGCCTAAACGGTGTCGTGGTCTGCGCAGGAGGCATGTGCTGCCAAAGATTCACGTCCGTACCGTTGCCAAATGCCTGCACGGCGTTTTCTGACGTGAGAGGAGAAACATGAAACCCATTTATAGTCACAAACTGTTGCGTGAAGAAGAACGCAGAGCGGTAATGGGCTTTCTCTCAAGTGCATTGCAAGCAGCAACGTGTGTTTGAATGTGGGTGGATTAGTATTTGTATTGTTTATGAATTACAGGTAAAATGGGTCATTCACCTCAGGTGAGAAGGTGACCGAAGGCGCGGTCAAAGAGGAAGGCCTTGAGACAGACTTTGAAGGAGCCACGGGAGGGGTTGAGGCAGAGGGATTCCAAGATGGAGTTTCACAGGGTGGGGGCAGAGAGGCTGAAGGCCCAACTGCTGACGGTGGGGTGGGCAGGGAGGGGGAACATGGAGCAGGTCAGTGCCCACCGAGCTGAGAGCCCGGAAAGGTCGATAAGGTGTAACGCAAAACCACACGTGTCAAGACATAGGGCTGACAAAAAAAAATGGACTGTTGTAACCGGGCTGGTCTGTTAGTGGTTTGTTTACAATTAAGATTAGTTGATAGCCGTATAACAGAAAAATAGCAGCGCAGACTGCAATGGGGGTAACACCAGCTGCCTGTTAATTGAAACTGTACTCAGCTACTAACGTTTCTTGAAAATGTGGCAATCCACACTTTACTGTAGCGAGAACTTACGAAAACATCTGTTGTGCATGAAGAAATTGAGTAATTCATCACAATCCTCTTTGCGGTTCCCGCTGCCACTACAGGAGCACCAAGGCGCCACACTGATGCTTTGAGAGTCGATGTAGTTTGGGGTCATGAACGTTCCTACCAGATGGGAAGGGAGGGGGAAAAACAAACAATGAATGAAGAGTCTTATAGTACAACACAACACAGTTCAGGTTTACACCGTGCTTTCAGGTCGAGAGGATGTCTCAAAGCGCTTCAAACTGCAGGCTGGGCACTCATGGGGGAATCCAGAACAAGGGGTGGAATCTTAAAATTAGAGCCAGGCCATTTAGGAGTGAAATCAGGATGCATTTTCTCACGCAAAGGGTAGTGGCAATCTGGAGCTCTCTCCCCCAAAAGGCTGTGGATGCTGATCCATTCACATTTTCAAGACTGAGGTGGATAGATATTTGTTAGGTCAGGGTATCAAGGGATATGGGGCAAGGGAGGGTAATTGGAGTTGAGGTACAGATCAGTCATGGTCCAAGAATGGCAGAACAGGCTCGAGGGGATGAATGGCCTAGTCCTGTTGCTGTGTTCCTAAGACGTTGTCGGGGTGAGATGAAAGTGAAGAGGTTGGCGGGGGAGGGTGGGAGACATGACCGAAAATGCATGCAAAGAGGCAAGTCTTGAGGAAGGGATGGGAGGGAGGGAGGATGGGAGGGAGTGAGGAAGGGAACAGATCGAAGGGACTCCAGGTCAGAGGGACTCTAGGATGGAGTCCAGAAACTCAGCCCAGAGTGGCCGAAAGCCTGACCCCTTCTCTTTGCTGAACAAAAAAGAAACGCTCAGACTCGGAAAATTCCCAGATGAAACTAATCGATTCATCACTGATCATGGAGGAGAGAAGGAGAGAGAGAGAGAGAGAGAACATGCAAATATAGCAAAGCGTTCCTCAGCCATTAGTTAGTTTTGTTTCCAGAGTCGTGCATCATAGACCCAAACAAGGCGAAACACAGCTCCAATTGCAAATTGAACGACTCGCCTGTCTTACAGCAATTGTGGTGTGACGGCAGTATAAACAGAGTCTAACTGGCGTCTTACCTATGAGTCCTGTGTAAGCAAGCAAACAGCCAGCATAGTTCTCCCTCAAGCACCCGCTCACAGTCCGTGACTCTGATTGACAGTTTGTGAAGAAATCCGCAAGCCGTGACCTAGAAAGAGAATAAAGATACACAGGAACGTTATTTTATTACATCTGAACTAAAGCGATTTGTTTCTGAAGAGGTTTAACACGCTGTGCCTCTTAAGTACCAGTCTGTGAAACAAACATTTTCGGGAAACATTCTGAGTGACTTTAGCTGCTCACTGTAAATCCTCTCTGATGTGCCTCAGTCTCCAATATAACTCGCATTGACTGTGGTACCTTCACCAAAATGTACGTCCTGCATCAACAACGACAACAACGACGACGACTGTTGATGATAGATAATTATTTGGGGAGGACACGTTTGCAGGGCTATGGGGACAGCGGGGGGAATAGGATTGATTTGGGCAGCTCTTTTAAAAGAGGTCAGCACAAAAACCATGAGCCGAATAGCCTCCTTTTGTGCTGTATAATTCTATGATGCTGTGAATAACAAAATGACATTTGAATAGCGCCTTTCACTTTGGGAGGAGGTCCCATCACTCATCTTCATGGCTTCTGTGTCCGGGACATTGCTGTGCGCAAATTAGATGCCGTATTCGCCTACAAAATATATAGTCACTACACTGTACTGCACATCCACGCCGGGAGATGTCCTCCTGATGTGAAAGGTGTTATATAAATGCGATTTAGGAACGTAGGAACAGGAGGAGGCCATTCAGCCCTTCGAGCCTGTTCCGCCGTTCAAGTAGATCATGGCTGATCTGTACCTCAGCTAATCCTGTCAATTCCAATTACCCGCTTTTTCCCGTATCCCTTGATCCCTTGAACTAATTTGTTGTTTGTAATAAATCCTGTGAAGTTTGCGTCATTCTCCTGAAGTGAAAGGTGCTACATCAGATGCAAGGATTATTGTTGTTATTATTAATATTATTAGTTCACAAGCGAGATATGAAGTGAAGCACAAAAAATATCAGGACCGTATTAATTTCACAATCTCTCCAGTGTGCGCTGATCCACAGCTAGTTATACAGTTACAAGCCAAGCTCACCCAAAACGCTTTGTTCTAAGGCAGGTACTTGCCTTAAACCTGTTTTGCACCTAGTTTTACGGTCGGTTTACTGCGGCTAAAATTTGCCGACATCCTCAAAAATGTTCTGTGGATGCAAACTATTGCGTTTTGTTGGAACCTGCCAGAAATGATCTACTCATGCCTTGTTGATGTGTTACTGCAGACCATACAAGCAGTACTGTCAGAAAGATTCTGTTTGTTGACAAAGTCACTTAAATGAACTATAATTATAATAATAATAATCCTTGCATTTGATCCTTATCACTTTTTCAGCCATCTAAAAGAGCTTCACAGAATATACTGTAAAATGAATTGACTGTATATAAGAACATAAGAATTAGGAGCAGGAGTAGGCCATTTGGCCCCTCTAGCCCACCCCGCCATTCAGTAAGATCATGGCTGATCTATTCTAACTCCACCTGCCCGCCTTATCCCCATATCCCTTAATCGCTTTATCCACAAGAAATCTATCAATCTCAGTCTTGAATATGTTCAAGGACTGAGCATCTACAGCCCTTTGGGGTAGAGAATTCCATAAATTCACTACCCTCTGAGTGAAGAAGTTTCTCCTCAACTCAGTGCGAAAGGGCTTACCCCAATTTTAACACTATGACCCTGGTTATAGTTTCTCCAATCAGGGGAAAAAGCCTCCCACTATCTATTCTGTTGTACTCCTTAATAATCTTATAGATTTCTGTAAGATCACCTCTCATTCTTCTATATTCTAGAGAATATAGGCCTAAATTGCTCAACCTATCCTCATAACTCATCCCCTCATCCCTGGTACCAACCTAGTGAATCTACGTTGTACCCCCTCCAAGTCAAATACATCCTTTCTTAAATAAGGAGACCAAAACTGCACACTATATTCTAGTTGTGGTCTCACCAGGGCCCTATACAGTTGCAGAAAGACTTCCCTACTCTTATATTCTAACCCTTTTGTAAGAAATGCCAACAAACCGTTAGCTTTCCTAATTGCTTGCTGTACCTGCAAACTAACTTTTTGTGACTGGTGCACAAGGACACCCAAGTCCCTCTGAACGCCAACACTATCTTGTCTCTCCTCTTCTAAAAAATAATCTGCTCTACTGTTTTTGCCACCGAGGTGGATGACCTCACACTTCCCCACATTATACTTCGTCTGCCACCTATTTGCCCACTCACTGAGCCTATCTATATCTCATTGTATTTTTAAATGTTATTCCCGGTGTTTACTCTCCTTAGTTTAGTGTCATCCGCGAATTTGGATATATTAAGTTTGATGTCCTCATCTAGATCGTTGATGTAGGTTGTAAATAGTTGAGGCCCAAGCCCTGATCTTTGTGGCACTCCACTAGTCACATCCCGCCAATCTGAGAAGGACCCGTTTATCCCTAATCTTTGCTTTCTTCCCGTTAGCCATTCTTCAATCCATGCTAATATATTCCCCTTAATTCCATGGGCTATAATCTTGTGAATCAACCTTTTATGCGGCACCTTATCAAATGGCCTTTGGAAATCTAAATACACTAAATCCCCCCATATCTGATTCCCCCCTATCTAATCTACTTGATGTGTCCTCAAAAAAATCTAAAAGATTTGTTAAGCATGACTTCCCTTTTGTAAAGCCATGTTGACTCTAAGTATTCCACTACCACATCCTTAATTAAGGATTCTAGAATTTTCCCTACCACCGATGTCAGACTAACTGGTCTATAGCTCCCCATCTTCTCTCGCCCACCCCTCTTAAATAGTGGTGTCGCGTTTGCGATCTTCCAATCAATGGGAACCGTTCCAGAATCCAAAGAATTTCGGAAGATCAGACAAGGCCTCTGCTATCTCATGAGTTACCTCTTTAAAAACCCTCGGATGCAAACCGTCAGATCCAGGGAACTTGTCACTTTTTAATGCCAACAATTTCCCTCGCACCAATTCTTTGCTTATGTAAACTTCCCTAAATTGCTCCCTCTCATTAGCCCCTTGGGTCATCTCTATTTCTGGTAAACTTCTTATATCTTCTAACGTGAAGACAGAAGCAATTTGTGGGCCAAAGGCAGAAGCCAATTGCGCACAGCAGCGTCCCACAAACAGTCGTGGATTGAGTGACCAAATTATTTTGGTTTGTTTTTGAAGGGATTATTACCCCCGGAAAAGCGATCCACCAATCGACTAACAACCGGGTTCCTACTGACTGCTAGGTAAATAGAGGCGTGTGGAGTAAGGAATCTTGTCCAATATTTCACCCTGCTGGGAATTGAACCCAGGTCTCTCGCTTGCGAGGCGGGTGCTCTAACCACTGAGCTACAGGACTAGAACTATGCCTGGGTCACACAAAAATGGCTGTGTGAATTTTATTTGATGAAGCAAGAATCACTGGGAATTGTCAGACATGACACTGGGACAAACTCCCTTCTCTTTTCAAACAGTGCTAAAGGCTGACTAGACTGGCCTTCGGTTTACTGTCTCATCTGAAGGACGACACCTCGTTCCCACGCTCCCCCACCACTGCACTGGAGTGTCAATCTAGACTGAGTTCACAAAGTCCTTGGTGCTGAGGCTTGGACCCACAGTCGTCTGACTCAGAGGCGAGAGAGCTACCCAAAGTGAGCCAGGCTGACGTCTGACGATAAAGAGAGAAGAAAAGAAAGCTGGAGGGGTGGTGGGGCACAATCAATCTGATAATCAGTGGACTGCTTGTGTAGTTGAATGTTCCGCGTGTTAACAGAAGCAATGCTCACATTCGCTACATATGGGAAGTAAAGACACTTGTTCCCTACAGAATTAAACCTTGCTGCTGCTGTGAGCAAGAAGGCTTATTGTAAATCCATCCTGGATTGTGGTTTGAATACAAATGATCAAACTCGAGAGCCTTGATCTCTCTGACTGACCCACTGGATGCATTAGCTGAAAATGAAATAACGATGGGGGGTAAAATATTGTGCTTTCTTACTCCATTAAGTTAAAAAACATTAGGTTAAGAAACGGTGCAAAATTTTGTTTCAGTTTGCCTTTCACCTCTTTTTTTTTCCAAATGAAGCTGAATCTATTCAGCGTTTGACGAACAAATCTCATTTGCATTCAGTTGCTGTTTGCAAAGGATCACTAAGAAATGTGTGCGTGTGTTTAATTAAAATATACTCCAATAGAGAATGTCAGAAGTGTGGGTCTCTTTACCGATCTGTTGGGTGTGGGTGGGTGTCTGTGAGGGTGGGGTGTGTGGGGGGCAGAAGTCTCAGCGACATGATAAGGCGCTAGCTGTACCAAATGCAAGGATTACTATTAGTATTCTCATATTACATTGGCATGTGGGAAGTTCCAAACTTCATATAACATTCAATTTGATGATAATCTAAAGGGAAAATCAGATGCGCAGATAAATGTGATAACAATGGTAAATCTAGTGAAGAAACTACAAAGATATTTCAAGCTACTGAATCCAAGCCCACATTTGTAAATGCCTATTCCCATTTAAATGCAGCAGGAGGTATGAAAGCACTGATGAAATGGATTAGAAAATGAAAGGCGAGCCAAGAAGTCACCTGTGTTTGAAAGGCCCTGATGCTTGTGGGAAGCAAAGCAATAAAGAAGCAACAATTAAAGAATTATCTAACTGGACAAACGATTAAAAAGAAGTGCAGCGTGTGAATGAAAGGCAAAGCTGGTCTTGGACTGTGCATCATTCTAACATATTAACCTTTATTATAAAGCGTTACGACACAACTGGTTTGGTTGGAAATATTCGAATGACATGTTTTCTGTTTCCAAAACCTAATTACATGCAATAAATCACCATTGCACTGTGACTTAGAAAGTGGTTCCGCTCCTCACCTGAAACAAATGCTTTTCTTGATCAGTAATAATTCTATAACTGGAATATATCTTCCACTTATCCGGCTCTGCCGGGGGTAATACATTTTAATAAGATGGTTGATTTGGATACTGTTCAAACGAGTCAGGCATGTTCAAAGGGGTTAACGGTGACAGGATCCCAAAGGGGAGTGAGAGGCGGAGGGGGG